AGATGGGTATAAGAGACAGTATATATATATATATATGCCTATATATTATTCCGTTATACTTTAGTGAACATACGCCTTATTTTTCCAGCTTACATATTGTATAATGAATATTACTCTGCTCCTATTACTGTACTGTACTAACTTAATTTGAATAGTGGAATGAATTCTCACATTGTGTTGCTTTTGTAGAGTAACAAGTCCCCGTCCAATATTTTGTAGATTCGTGTTAGAGTAAAATTATTTTTACGGTATTTTAATGGACATAAATAGAAATTCAAACAATGCCAATAATGGTAAGACACCTAAAATGTTGCTACGATTATATTTCTTCCAGATTTGTGTACGCGCCTGGACGGTAAATCAAGTTCAATTTCGATTTATTTTTGCGATTTGATAAACTACATTGGAATTTCATAATAATATGATGGTCGTTTAAATTACAAAAAACTTTCACAACCTCATAACTTAAATCGTCAAAAACTTTTGGCCCTTACCTAAATTAGTGTATGATAGACGTAGAGTACGGTATCTGTTGTAATTTTGTAACCTTAAATAAATGTACGTAGGCCTACTTGCACTACATGAGGAAACCTTCTCCTGAAAGAGGGACGCGGTTGCACGTCGTTTTGCACGTCATGTTTGCCAATAATATAATCAAAGGATAGGTCTTAGAATAACAGACATACATCAATAATTTGTAAGCACTTAGAATTTTTTACGGATATTTAAATTTATATTATGAAATCAGCAGAACTGTAATTAAAACAACAATCATTTTATATGTTCCCAATATTGTTTCATGATGCAATGTTAATGATCAAAATATTCTTTTTTAATGAGCTTTCTATTGAATGAATGTGGCATGAATAAAGCAACATGTATAGTCTGGATTAGAATCATATATGCATGAAAAGAAAAAGAAATTCCCATGATTAAGGGTCAAAATTGACTAAGATTGGTTTATATTAAGTAACAAATGCAGTACGCCAATACCAATATTCACTCTAAAGATCCAGGGGAGAAAATTCTGGTTTATCGTCCAGAACGGAGTCAAAATATTAAGAATCAGATATTCTTTATTGTCATAACAATGTCATGAGATTTAATTAAAGTATAAAGTTAAAAATGCATTTTCGTATTTTTGGACTGACGTTGTTGTTATGATAGAATGAAAAAAAATATTAAGTGTCCCTTTAATGGGAGTTATTTGACCATTTGCCCCACTCAGAAAGTGTTCCCGTCCCCTCAATAGCGGTTGGTTGCAGTGATAACCGATATATCTCCTCTCTTGTTCCCTTAATAAGGTTATCCCCTGAATAGGGATGTCCAAAAGGAGTGGTTCTACTGCATATGTTTTTTAAGGTAGGCCAAACAAAGCTGTACTTACAATATCCGAATCGCTCATACGTTGTGCAGCAACGTTTGAAATTAAACCACAAGCTAAGACGATTGCTAAGCTTAGCAATTTCATGATGATGCGTTACACTGAAAAATTCCTAAAATATTCTTTAAAATATCTCCGATGTCTGTTGATTCTCAAGTAAATCACGGGTATATGTATCGAAAAATCGGAACCACGTCATATATAAAATACCTGTTCACTTCCTTAAATGAAACCTCGAGAATGGACATTAAGTGCCAATGACTTTGTAAAATTACCAGAAAACAAAACTATCTGTTTTTACATGACTTAATATGAAAGCTTGTAATTGGATAGTGAGTCAGGTTTAGTAATCACGATTTATGACGAGATATTTGAAAAACAATAGCCAGTATTATTTTTTCCGGTAGTTTAAACAAAAGCTTCTTAATGTAGGCCTACCTGCACCAGGGAGTTGTTATTAGAAAACAACTCCCTGTCTGCACCAAGGGATTATTTCATATTTTTAAAGATCTTATATGTGCTTTTCTTGAATGTAGAGTCTACACTATAGGAGCTACATATCATCGTACATTAGGTTATTATTGTAACACAACAATGCCAGTTTTGGAATCATAATTGAATTAACGTTTGTGCGGGTGGGGAGGGGACAGTGCGGATCCAGGAATTCGAGGAAGGGACTTTCACAGATGGAGTGTCTAGACACCTTTAGCCCACAATGGTTAGACTGAGGCAAGAAAATTGATAATTATGGCACCTCTAGATGGCCAGAAATGGCACTCAGAGACTTAATTTGAGCATATTTTTTTCTCCACATTTTTTAAATATATTTTTGAAACATTTAGGAGAGGAGATCGGGCCGGCTATGCTCCCACTTGAATCCGCCACTGAGGAGTGCATGGTCGAAGCGAGTGTTTAAGGCTACCAGACGAATGCCCTCAGTGGTGTAACGCCTACGCGCTCTCATGCGGCGGTCCGCAGGGCCCCGACCTTCGGGGACCCACCCCTGGTTCCTCGATCTAGTACCATGAAAAAAAGGACTTTGTTGATACATAACACCATAATGTGTCTCTGAAATCGACTGCAGGGCATATATCATATTATATCTAGTGGCAGATTAAATGGAGGGGGACCATGTCTGCCCGGGACCCCACCAAATTTGTCAAAAAAAATTTAAACTGGAGATAAATAGAAAACGATATTTACAATTATAAGTCTGTGAGTGCCGTTTCCGGCCATCCAGACGTGCCATAATCATACATTTTTTTTTTATCAGATCAGTCCCACCTGGGCAATAGCATAAAGTGTCTCTGAAATCGACTGTACGACATATATCATATTATATCCAGT